GGATCGGGTGTCACGTTCCGACACCAGGATAGAATATGGATCGGGTGCCACGTTCCGGTACCAGGATAGAATATGGATCGGGTGTCACGTTCCGACACCAGTATAGAATATGGATCGGGTGCCACGTTCCGGTACCAGGATAGTATATTGAGGAGTGGAGTGTCACGTACCGACACGAGGGGAATAAAGATAATGAATCTTGAAATATGATAATATATCCAATCTAATGAACTAAATTCCCAAATGAGTGTGATGAGGAGGTGTGAGTCCTCATTGATGTGCTTGGTATTGTAACCAAGGGTTATGGTAACTATAAATGCTGCATGTTAAGGATATTAGTTGATTTTATGATATTGCTTAATACATACTGTTCCCTATTTTGAGTTGGTCAATGATATCTACTCAGTACCCGTGGTTTGTACTGACCCCTACTTTTATGTTTTTCTTCTTGTTATTTGTGGAGTGCAGCAAACGTGCCGTCATCTTCGACTCAATAGTAACTCAAGCCAGTCTTCGTCACATCGGAGCTTCAGGGTGAGCTAACGCGTCTATCTTGGACTGGATCTTCTCCTTCATGTCTCGATGCCTTGAAACTTCGGCATGGACTAGCTTCTTATGTATTTTTAGCTTTTAGAAACTCTTAGAATTAGTAGTTTAAAGTAGATGTTCTTGTGATGATGACTTCCAGGTTTTGGGAATAATAGTTATTGAATTGGTTTTATTAATGAGTTTAAGTCTTCCGCATTATTTTCTGTTGTTATTACATTGAAATGTTAGGGTTTAGATTGGTTGGTTCGCTCACATAGGAGGGTAAGTGTGGGTGCCAGTCGCAACCCGGTTTGGGTCGTGACAATACTCAGAGCATACATTTAGATTTTAAACAAATTTCATTCTGAATGTTTCATATATGTTTTCCATTTTTATCACGGTAACACCAGGAATGAAATCAACAAACTTTATTCATAAAACCATACTCATTTACTCACCTTAGAATGAGCTTGTGCCAATCGTGGAATCCAGCATTCATCAAATTCTCCACAGTAACACTTCTGTGTCTTTCACTGCGCCCAGTCAGCAAGAAAACTTTGAATCCCAGCTTCAGAACTTCTTGATAAAGCTTCAAGCTGGACCCCAAGGCTGGCGCCGTTCCCTTCTCAACCCATTTATCAAATTCCACATCATCAAATACCTCCAATCTACAATATTGAGATCAATATAAATCACCATTAGCTTACTATTACACATAGTATAATGCCTAAGAAGAAATATGAAGCAGAACTACAATTCCAAGTAAAACAGAGAAAATCCCCTTCAAAATGGATATTAACAAAAATGATGCTCAATCTATCTCCTTTTACATGATGGATTAAGACTGTGATTAGGTTTGTTCTAGTCTTTAGAAAATGTAGTTTGATGTGGTTCATTATCTAGTCTATAGGAGAAAACGTTATGGGGTAATTGCTAAATTTTTAGCTTTAGTTTGCTATGTTTTTGCTTATAAAAAGCAACTGCAGTTGCAGCATAGTTGAAATTAGTCAAGCAATTTCTTTTCACATTCACCACTTCTTTGTCTACTCTATTTTCACTTTTCTTCTCTAATCTGTTTTTCCTATCAGTGGTATCAAATCCACACCCGATCCAATGTGTGGGTACTCAGGATCCTAGACAGTTGCACATCAAATCAAACAGTGAAACCCCGGGTAAAGAATGTCCCAATCTGGACTTGAGGGCTCCTTACATGATTTGGGCAATCTTCCACCGTCCTCCCTTTGAGCTCAGCTTTTGGGGTATGAATTAGGCCAAAGCCCTTATTCGACAGACTCAACGGGGACATTTTCATTAGTAGACATGTTGAGCTTATGCGAAAAGGTATAGCCCTTTAATTTCTTTAACTGAATCCAACAAACTAGGGTCATGTTCAATTATGACTCTGACCCCAATATTGGCGTTACCCAACAAGACAGTTTAGGAGTGCAAGAATGAAGTAAATTTAACAAAAAATACAAAGAAACTTAGTGAAGAATCAATCATACCCATAACGATGATCAGAATAATAAGGAAGATTCGAAAGCAAAGTTTCGTCAACATCAAAAATCCACACATCTCTTCCATCATCTCCCAAATCAACACTTTTGGCATATTCTCCCGCCTCATCCGAAACCCTATCAATCTCCATCTCATAACCTGGACCCACCATATATTCCTTGACATAATCAGCACATTCCTCTGGAATCGTCTTCCATGGACTTAAATTATTCGTTTCAACAACAAACCTCCAAGTCGTACACTTCAACTCATCCCTCAATTGTTTTTCAGGATACTCAATAATCAATGGCCTTGGAAACACATGAGAATTGAGATTTTCAGTTCCGATTGCAACAGTCAACAACGCCAAGAACACGAAAATCCTCATGTAGTAAATTCTTCAAGAATGATAGTAGGGAAGTAATGGAGTCAATGAAATACCAGAGATAAAGAATACGTAGAGGAAATTGTGTTAAGAGTAGGTGGATTACTTAATTCTAATTGGGCTTTGGCGTGATTCGTGCATTTCCTTTACCACGTGGTAAAAGGGAAATAATATTTAACCAATAAAAATCTTCATTCTCATATGCTACCCACGTCTCTAAATGTCAGATTTGGTGAAAAAGTTCGTAAAGATAAAAAAAAATTAAAATACTATATTTTTAGAAATTTGTACCTTAAAGTATGATATATACTAATAGTCATAATTAGCGAGAGAAAAAATAAGCACAAAATGTCCGAAATTAGTAAATGACAGTTTAATATTTTTTTTCCCCTCGTATAATCTATATCACTAAACAACAAAAATAACGGAAACATACAAAATTATATATATAATACATAACCGCTTAAAAACGTAAATTATATAATTTCGTATATTTTTTATTTGTTAATAAAAAATATTTTAATTGCATACTTGATTATTTTATATAAATAGATAAATGATGTATTCATTCACTTAGTATTAGTATACATTTAGGATCCATTTGGCAGACGGTATTAGGTAAAAAATAATTCATGGATTAAAATTTAATACATTTAATACATTGTTTGGTTACTTCATTTAATTTAATCTATGAATTCCTTATCCATCATATGTGATATTATCTTATCCCTAGTAAATGGAGAGATAACTAATCCAAGATTTGTTAAACCTTGGATAAGACCCCTAAATGACTAAACTGATCCATTATTCTTTTTTCTAAATTTCTTTTTTAATTTAATTTTTTTTATTTATATTGGAATGGTTATAAATTTCTTTTTAAATTCTCCAAATTCGTTTGATCTTCACTTTTTTTTTGATTTTTTTAATTTTCAAGATGGTTTGTCGATTATTCATTTGAACTATTTGTTTTTATGATAAAAATAAACTTTAGGTATGAACAATATAAGTAGTCTTAAATCTATGTTAAGTTTAAGATATATACTTGACCAACAAAAAATTAGAAATACATTGTGTCGTCTATGATCTTCTTAGGGGTACGTCATACCTTAAATTAACAATTTTATGTATATATATATTTGATTTAACTAATGAAATGGAATAAATAATTCTTTTAAAAAAAGTATTCGGTTATCTACCTTGACCCAACTAAATGAAATAAACACTCATAATAACACAAGGGTATAATAAGAAAGAATTTTTTGTGAAATTATAAATTAAACACAAAATTAAGTGGAAACCAAACACTTGAAAAAATTATCTCTGCGCTACTAATCTCTGTACTACTAATCCCTGCATTACTAATCTTTGTGTTACTAATCTATGCATTATTAATCCCTGTATTATCAATGTTGGTACCAAACGACCCCTTATAGTTCTATTATCCCCTCCAGTGTATACATATTGAAAAATTAAATAATTACTGTATTCATTCCTTATAATATGTGTACACTGCATTATAAAAATAAGATTTAAGTCACATGTGGCCGATTAAAGTTGTCCGCATATTTTATTTGGACACCATATCTTAGGTTTGTTCTAATTGAACACCTTTATTAGTTAAACAAATACATATCGAACATTTTTTTGACAATAAACAAAATTAGAGATGGTGTGTAATACATTCGCCACTGATGTTGCATAATATCTAATGAAAAATTGACACGTGGCATTGAGCCATAATAATAATTAGTAAAAGTAAATTAGGAAATACTTAAAAACTATGTTTTACAAAAAGTGATAATGCATAAGTACCCCCTAACCGAAATCTCAGAAACACACCTAAACTTAACTAAGATCCTATTACCCATCCCCTCCCCCTCCCCCTCCCCGCCCACCCCCCTCCCCCCAAACTCATTTTATTCGTATTATTTGTTCACCTTTTGTGCTGATGTGGCACCTGCAACGACCCAAGACGGTTGTGTTTGTACACACTCGCACGCCACGTGTGTAAATAATTTTTTTAATTAAAAATTATTTTTTTAAAAAAAATCAAAAACTATTTCTTAATTTTTTAAAAATAATATTTCGTAATATTTTTAAAATAATATTTCATAATTTTTTTAAAAAAATAAGAATTTTAATTTTTATAATGAAAAATATTCTTATTTTTAATATTTTATTTAAATTAAGTTAACATTTGTTTACCTTGTATAGAAATAAATTTTTTGTTACTTACATTCATTTTTTTCTCGTTTATTTTTCTATTAATTATTATTTTCTTTGACTTTGTTTTGATACGATTTCAAATGTCTTGTATTTAAAATAAGTTAATTTTAAATGGATGTCAAAATAAGTGAAGAAAATCAAATAAAACATAAAAATATTAACACATTAAATTAAAATACACTTTTAATTTTTTTTATTTGAATACACACAATTTATTAAAAATAATTAAATATGAAAAGATAATAAATTAGTTGAAAAAAA